AATTGTATCATTTCATCGGAACTGTCCTTTTCAGGCAACCTAATCAGAATGCTACGACCTTCTGGCGAATTCAACGGGACGGCATCAACTTACAACATTATTCAAATGATAACTCGTTTTGAATGCTCAATCGGAAAGAATGCAGCCCAGTGATTTTGATATTTTGGTCATGATTACTGTACTTACGGCACAAAAACGTTTGATTTGTGGTATTACGTCTTATAAAGTGTTGTAATCCCTCCTTCCTATGCACCATGTTCTACTGTACGATTAAATGTTTCTGTCTGATCATGTTTCCACTTTATACGAAAGCTCAATGTGGTAGATGTAACGAACAGAGATGAGTGTAGAGCGACATGCATGTGACTTGCTTAGGGAGCAGAGACAATGCTGTTGCAGGGGCCGTATGCTGAATGTTGTGTAGGCTACGGGGATGGGGAAACGCCGTTGGGGAACGGTCGCGCCTTTGATTTTGAGCTTTGTTTCAATTCCTTCATCGCTGTTTGCAGTGCTTGAAAAACGAGCGAATGTACCTTTTAGGAACAGTGAATGGATGGAAAGAAAGCTACGAAATTAAACGTGCGACTGTAGTTGGGTACGATATTTTACGTGCGTGCCAGGATGTGTATAACGGTTTTCACGAGGAGTATAAACTCTGTCCTACGAAAAGTGCTAATGGGCTGCCAAGGTACCAGAGTAAATCACATGCGATGGCTCTGGTATGAGGCTGGACTAGTTGGGATAGCTTGGAAACAATGTCACCCTAACTACTCTTCTCTTCAAGTTTCTTGGTGATGTACCGATACCACGACCGTACGGCTCTCTATAAAGAAATAAGAGTGGTACCTTCCATAAAAATAACAACGCCCACACGGCAACTGCCACTGTATTAGCCTAAGGCACTAAGCAAGCCTTACTCTGGTCTTTGCCTCCGTACCTGAGTAGGTTATACTCCTCACAGCTCTGACAAAACTGATCAAACACATCACGATTTATTGATTTTAAATCTCTTAACTTCAAGTCACATTGAATTCGTTGGCCACTAAATTTTCAGTAATGTTATACATGCTCTCAAGACGTGACAATAGAGGGGTAGGAAGTTCAAATTTGTTAAACAACGTTAAGGATCCAATTTCCAACTCTAGGAATCCAATGGCAACGCAACAACATAATACATTGAACTGCTACCAGAATCAACTCCAGTATTTCAACTGTTTACACAAAAGGCTAAACAATATCGAACACCTTGCTAACGCGCATGGCGCAGAAACATCAACATACCGCAGAAAGCACTTCATAAGGGTAATGCATAGATACATGGTTAATACAATGAGACCTGGGAAAAAGTGTAGCACCGTACAATTTGAGGCCTGAGACATGATGAAGCACCGACTAAAATGAGGCCTGAGGAATGATGAAGCACAGAATAAAACAATTATGCCTGAGGATTGATGAAGCAAACCACAGAATAAAACAATGAGGATCGGAACAATAGAAACAATACACTTCGACAATGAGGCGAGACCTGTCATTTTGGGCTTTTCTTGCAGGAACTCTGATCTGAAAATCGAAAAATAAAAGATGAAAATTATTGCAACTTTTTCCAGGTATGACTGACGAATTGCGAAATGTGCTGGATGCACTGCGGGACCTGCAACGCGTGTTGCGGGGGAACCAGGATAGGATTGAAGAGAGGGAACGCCTAAGGGAGTATGTCCGAAGAGAACATGTGCCCTTCCTTCACAGTCGCATGAGAACTTTCGACGAATATCTTGCTCGGGAGCACCCTGACAGATTCAAAGAGTACACGAGGCTGACACCGCTGCAATTCATGCAGCTGTATGAGCGCATTGCTCTTCGTCTTACTCATTCGTTGACACATGCGTCTCCTATAACCGCTCAACAGCGACTTTTTACTTTCCTTAGGTAATTTATGTTTTCGAACACCGTAACGCTGATAAGGCTCAAAAGATCTCGAGATTAAGGTTTGTTGGACATGGCATCCCCTTCAACGCACTATGCCAGGAACTTCACTGTAGAAGAACGACGAAGGGAGAGATTGTTTCGGAGGTG